TTTGTTTTTTTTTTTTTTTTTAATTTTCGTCGCAAAGCTACACGAGGGCTATCTATTTGGCAATGTAAGACTAGAGGGAAGGCAGCTAGTCATCACCACCAACCGCCAACTCTTTTACCAACGAATAGTGCAATTGACCGCACATTATAACGGCTGAAAGGACGAGCATGTTTGGTGGGACGGGGATTCGAACCCGCAGCTTGCGAGTCAACGCCCTAACCACCTGGCCATGCCGGGCCCAAACTCAGTTGGTTTTACGGAGACTTACACCTTTGATAACTCCTCCGAAATCATGATATTTAGAAATGAGCTTTGTTATCATGTAATCAAACTGTACTGCTTGCTGAAGTGAAGCCTAGTTTACAAGAATATACACCATCTGTTTACTTTGTGAAAATCATACACATGTATGGTACCAAATGAATAAAAACATCTGGTCGTCTAAGAGAACCGCAGAGCCTATATACTAAATAAAAACCAACCTAACTGCTGAGGAACTATATGAAATCGGCTATTGTTCAGAAGAAAAAAAAACATATTGTTTAAGTGAAAAGAACCACATTATATTTAAAACTACATTTTGCAAACGGAAACAAACTATTTTTAACCTTTACGACCTTAATCCCAACTAGTTCGGGGTCAGCCAGTGTTTTCGTAAGCAAAGTATTTTTTACTCCCTGGTGGCTGGTACAGTCGGCAACCATATAGAACGAGCATGTACGGCGATGGGGATTCAAACTAGCGATATTCAGATTGCCAGTCGAGCGCCCTAACCATCAGATCATGCCAGGCTCAGAAACAGACCTAATATGATTAAAATACATTTTGTAAACGGAAACATAAAATAGTAAAAAATACATTGTTTAATAGAAGCAACCATAATTGGAACTACAAGTTGAACTTGGAAACAGTGGTATGACATAATATTTTATACCAGCTTAATACAATTCGAAAATATGTTTTCATCATTGTAGCTTCAAAGGGCTTTGGAACGTCTTACAGATGTTTTCTAAAAACACTTCTGTTGAGACCTCGCTTCTCTCTCAACCAAACCACTGATAGAATGTGGCACCATCACGGAGATCTCCCATGAGGTTCATGTTTGCTTTTTGAACAAAGTTTCGTTGTTGTTACAAATATCATCTGTAATTCAACTTTCCAGAGTTACACGAATACAGTCTTGTCTTTGGTTTAGCTACAATCTTTTTACGTATAGGTAATTCGTTTCAGTATTGGTATTTTCTGTGCAACGCCTACAGAAGTAAATCTAATCTTTCCACTTTGTCTGAGTTCGCTTTTGCTTTATTGACTTTCGCTTCACTCAGAGACTGGTGACTCAGAAATGTGGTTAGAGCTGAACTGAAAGTACACTATGCTTTTTTCCCGCTGTAAAGACATATATATAAAACTTTCATATTGTAGTTAGTATCAACATGTTCTAGCTTTCTCTTGTTTATTATGCTTGTTAGGTGTAAAATTATACATACATACATATATATATATATACATAACAAAAGACAACAGGAAATGGAAATGATTGCTGTTTATCTTTTGATGCCCCAAATATAGTGATATTATAGGAAATCTATTTCTTCTGAATCTGACTCTGTCAGCTTAAAGTTAAATTATATATATATTTATGATGTAGAATAACCTCTGCAGTTTCACAAAATTAATTTATTTAATAGATGGCGACACTGCAGCTACCATTGTCTTCAGATACTAAGTGCTCGGATGTTGCTATACATGAGTCAAAATGAAGAAGTACAAGAGAAGCTGGTTGAAGAAGGCCATCTAAGGATTCTAATAGCCTCATTAGATTCCACTCATGACCCGGTAACATGTTCAAAGTTATGAACTGAAAAATAATGAGCCCTAAACCAAATCTTTTTAAAATTCCATTATGTTTTTTATTGTATTAGAATAGGGATTGCTTACTTATAAATCTTGGTGCAACGGTTGTTTGCATGACAAATTTCTGCTGTATATATTTAAATTTTCTTTGTTCAAAGTGCACTGTTTTCTCACAAAATTCACCATAGCAATATGGTTTTAAATAATGAAATATATTCATAGTGATGACTGGTTTTGTAGTTTTCAATACAGATTAATATGACATTTGTAACTTTACTGCAGTACACATTTTAACATAAGCTAGTGCGGTGTATGTAATTTTTCTGCAAAAACACCATTCTATAATGAGTCTTTGTGTTCTGTTTGAGTTTTTTGTTTTATAGTGTTCATCAAAGGCTAATATGAGAGTTCAATAATTAGTTTATTCATTTGTTCACTATTGCATGATCCATATTTTGATTTATAGAACTTTTACATTATTTGAAGTTCAAACAGTGGGGTAATTTAAATCTGGCTGTTAAATATAGTTTAACTAAAAGTTTATCTGACCTTTACTATGTTCAGTTTCAAAAAGTGGTTAGTATGATCTTCTTTATACGAAAACTGTAGTATTAGATACAATTGTGTTATGTTTTGTTATACCAGAAATAGCATCTCATTGACGATAGCTAAGGAATAAACTTGGAAAAATCAAATCTAAATATTTTTTTTCTCTAATAAAATCATGCTGAGATATTTTAGTATTATTATTCAGTACCCGTTACTATGGTTTCATACTACGCGTACACATATGGGGTGAAAAGCATCTGGTACTGTGAGCTAATTATACATATATATATATCTTTACATCCAAAACCATCCATGTGAAAATACGACAAAACACCTGCTTGAGTATAGTGTAAATTTTCAGTTGTTTGCCGAGAGGTTGTGTTTTAATTAGTGCTTTTTTTTGACAAATATTTTATATATCTAATTCATTTATAATTGCTAGAACTTTCTCATAGATTAATAAATGGTAATAATGACTGTATATAATCTAATATTCCTTAGTATTCAATGCAGGTAACATAGCTACAGATAATGTGTAATGTAAACATTTTTATGGTAATTAACTAACAGCAGTATATTTATTCAAACAATAATTTTGTTGTGTTGATATACAAACTTCTATTTACAAAAAAAATATCACAAAAAAACATCATTTTACACTATTAACTATTAATAGTTTTTAACATGGCCAAGTGATTAACGTTCCGGGAGGTTCCTGATTTTCGTTCCCTTGCCCCAAAATTACACATCGCACTTGAGGGCCGTCGGTGGGTTATAAGAGTAACGGTCAAATTCCGTTATTCGATTAGAGTAGCCCAACAGTTGCTGGTGGGTGCTATTGACTAACTAGCTTCACAATTCGTGCAAACCAGTTCTATCAGTTAAAAAATTAGAGAAGGACATGCGCAGATAGTCCCTGCATAGGTTTGCGCAAAATTCTGATAAAAACAAATCAATCTACAAACACTCCCATAAGCTGTTAAGTAGAAAATAAAATTCTGCTTAAATTACATTCATTTCAATGCATAAAAGGCACTTAATAAAAACAAATTACATGTGTTATTATTATTTGAGGTTATTAAGTAATATTAAGTCTATAAGTATTATTTATTTTCTTTTGTTCCAACATACACACATACACGTTTGAACAATCTCGTAATTTCTTTATTTGACATACTCATTCTGTGTATTAATACACATAAACTATTAACAGACAACGGTATACGTTGAAATGTTATTTCTGGATATTAGTTAACATATATTTTAAGCTAAAATACTCATCCCTCCTAGCGATTAAGTTGGGCGACATTTTGAGGTCAGTGTGAAGTTTTAATGTATGGAATTTGAATCTGTTGTAGGCAAGTTGTCCGTATAACTTACATGTTTTTAACAGTGCTACTTGCCTATAACGTCTCTGAAACAATACTCATCTTTTGTATTAATACACCTTATTTCCAGACAGTGTTTTACGTGCCAATGTTGTTTGTGAGTGTTAGCTAGAAACCTTTTTTTTTTCAAATTTAAAACATTAATTCTATGTATTAATGCGTACATTCTACTTACAGACAACGTTCTATGTAAACGTTATCTGTTGACTATTTTTTTCTACATTCAACTTACACAATTTATTTGCACATTTTCTCGAGCAGTTAACTAACACTTTTTATTTAAGTCACGCTGTGTTCATAAAGTAATATCTAAGCGCGATTTTCTCAGTTTAATAAATAATAACTGTTTGTTAATACTATTACTCGTTTATTTCATTGTATTTATAGATAATTTTGTACTTATAAACCTTAGCTTTTCCCATAGTTAACGTTCTATATTGTCCATGTTTTGATAAAGTTAGTTTAATCTCTGAATTTCGATGGTTTTTGGATTAAAGTATTTTTTTATAACGTCATTCGTCTCTTACTAAGTGGGCATTACTAAACATCGTGACTTTTGGGTAAATAGGGCTGACTAGTACTGTACTTATATTTATACTGCTGTCCTCATTCTTCTCTTATTAAATGGGAATTCCTAAATATCATAACTATTTGGTAAAGAGGGTTGACTAGTACTGTTCTAGTATTTATATTGCTGTCCTCATTCTTCTCTTATTAAATGGGAATTCCTAAATATCATAACTATTTGGTAAAGAGGGTTGACTAGTACTGTACTTATATTTATACTGCTGTCCTCATTCTTCTCTTATTAAATGGGAATTCCTAAATATCATAACTATTTGGTAAAGAGGGTTGACTAGTACTGTTCTAGTATTTATATTGCTGTCCTCATTCTTTCCTCATTAAGTGGATACATCTAAATATCATGACTGTTTGGTAACAAGTATTGACTACTACTGTGCTAATATTTATATTGTTAAGGCTTTCGTGCTTACACGCTCCTAGGGTAAGTTTCATAAACTTTCCATGTAGATAGTACAATTATATTCACATGAAAAATGACTAGCTGCTTAAAGCGAAGGGTGCTGCCAACGTATTGCCTTCTTTCTGGTCTGCCTAAACCAAAGGAGCCTAAGAATTGAGTGTTTAACCTTTTATGAATATAAGGTGTAGTTCATGTGAACAAAGACCAAACGTAATAGAATTAGGATACGTCTGTGGGCTTGTGATAGACATTAAAAATGACTAGCTGCTTAAAGCGAAGGGTGCTGCCAACGTATTGCCTTCTTTCTGGTCTGCCTAAACCAAAGGAGCCTAAGAATTGAGTGTTTAACCTTTTATGAATATAAGGTGTAGTTCATGTGAACAAAGACCAAACGTAATAGAATTAGGATACGTCTGTGGGCTTGTGATAGACATTATTTCATCATGAAGTCAGATACAACATGAGCATATAAGTGGATTAAGTAATTTCTTACCTGAAAAACTTAAACAACAATTGGAGTACATGAGATAACTTAACCACAAAATTTGTTGGAGGAAGGATTGCATTTTCTACTTGATAAAGCAAGTCTAAACATATCGTTGATAATAATACGAAGCACCTATTTTAAGGTTCTAATTTTAATCTAAATATGTAAATAGTGCCGAAAGTACACAACCAAATCGTCCAGTCTTTATAACAGAGCAGTTTTTTAAAGTTTATAAAAGGTTAAAAGTGCACTATGAATAAATGTATCTGAATATTCAAAGTGTGCATATTATTTTCATGGCTTGTTTTTTTTTTAACCAAAGAAAATAATTTCTTCGGGAACCTCCACTTTCGTAGTGAGTGTGTACATATATTACATATCCCTTCATTCAAAGAGTTAGTGGTTTCTACTAGCAAGAAGCTTTTCACGAGAATACGTGTACACGCAAATGTTATAAGGATATAAATACTGTTGTATTAGTATAACAATTTTGCCAAACATTCATGATGTTAGTAATTTTTTATAGATATTTCTCCTCCTAGTTCCACAAAAAAACGTTATTTAACATGTTTGTTTCACTCAGCAACTTCTGTGCCTTGTTCTACAAATTGTTGCCACTTTGGCTATGCGATCGAAATATCACAATGCACTATTGGAGGCTGATACGGCAGATTGCTTGACTCAACTAGTGCTGCCCTCTGACGAATGGTATTATACTAACCACAGTACCAAATACGCCCGATATGTGAAGCACCACGCTGGAAGGATATTTGTTTATCTGGGGCAGGAGCAGAGACTGCGAAATAAAGCTTACCTTTTTGATATATTCGGTATGTTTGCGTTTTACTCTTAATATAATACTCTTAATATGAACTGGATATAATATTATATAAATATATTTATACGAGTTATTTAAGATAACAAAACTGAATGATTCGCAAACAGAGAGAATAACTTCCAAAGATATATTTGATAGTTTTTTAATTATATAGTTTTAGAAATTTCCCCACCTGTAATGACTTTCATTGGATTGTATTAATTTTTAGATATTCAATTATTTAAAGAATAGTTGGTCAATTTGGAATGGCCCGGCATGGCCATGTGGTTAGGGCGCTCGACTCCCAATCTGCGGGGTCGCAGGTTAGAATCCCCGTCCCATCAAACATGCTCGCCCTTTCAGCTGTGGGGTGTTATAATGTGACGGTCAATCCCATTAGTCGTTGGTAAAAGAGTAGCACCAGAACTGACGTTGGGTGGTGATGACTAGCTGCTAAATTAGGGACGGCTGGCGCAGATAACCCTCGTGTGGCTTTGCGCGAAATCTATAACAAACCAAACCACTTTAGAAAATGTTACGTACAAAACATTAACAACATCAAATTCGATTATTAGGTAAAAGTAAATTAGATAAAATCAGGATGATACCAAAACACGGTAACAAAGAGGAAGTTGAAGTTATGAAATGATTTTTTGTTTTTATATGTGTCTGTGGAAGTAGGATCTAAACAGCAAGTAAGGATACACCGTCTATTATTGTTTAATACTCTCTGTACTGCATGGAAATAAATTAAATATACACCCATCTCTCATAATTACCTCCTACTACTGAAGCCAGTCTGGGGAAGAAGCCTGCTCAAATATATATATATAAAGATGATTATAAAGAATTTTATTAGGTTAGATTGGGATTCTTTGAAATATTTTACTGTTAATATATTGTGACGTATATTATCTTTAGTCCCTTAGATACAGCTACAATGATTAGTAGATGATTTTTCTTACTGTACAGATACCTATTACATCTACATTAAAATTAAAAAGAAATTATTATACGTTATGCGAGACTTGCGAACAGCTTTAATCGGATAGATGATGATGTATCTTTGTGTCTTTTCTCGCCATATTTTCACGGATGTCTCTAAAGCCAAGTTTCATGATATACAGTTTGTGAGACTCGCGTGTAGGTTTTAACGGTGATAGATGGCGGATCACAACCATTTTGTACTCCTTACTTCCACGGAAACAGCATATATTTCCGGCATTGCAGGTATTCCTTGTCGTCGTTTATTTTGTTCTTGATTTTAATTATGTCTAAAATATATATTTTTCTTCGGGATAAAAACAATAATTAACTTTGGGAAGTACACTATACACACCCAATATCTTAGTCTCTTCATGTAAACAGATTTAGAATTTCCGGAATACTTCTCAACTGTCTCTGAACTTTAGTTTTGTAATTACATGGAAGCAACAGCCAATTATGCTCAATAATATAGTAGCTAACTGAAGATGATTTTTTTCTGCATTTGCAATTTTACCTTTTTTTTTTTAAATAATTTGTGGACTTTTTATGTCACATTTCACTGTTACGGATTACGATATTACAATAACAATCCCATATTCATTACACTTTGGAATCTAGAAGAGCTGGATTTTTTGGTTGTTTTGTTTTTAAAACATTAATTTAAATCCCATAATTTGTTGTCTTTGTAGCGTTTCTTTTATTGATATTTAATGGTGAGCTTGGTACTTTTTAATTTTGTAGAAGAGTCTTTGCCACCACCAACACCGCTAACGACCTCAATTGAAGATTCCTACATAAGCATGACATCACTTCCGCTTCCAGCTATAGTAGATAACCAGGGACAGCTTTTAGGAGCATCTGTGGAGTACTTGGTATTACAAATGTTAAAAGTTATGGAGGTAGTACTTTTGAAATATTCTCATCTCATTTGATATATCCACACGAAACTATATAAGTTTCTCTTCTTTAAGAAATAGTTTTGATAGGTGAGGAGATACTAATACTAATCAGTTTGTAATTTATATTAGTTGTTTTTTGGTGAAAAATCTCACTTTTGATAACGACATAAGGTGGACATTTCATGAGAATTTTTATATATATATAATGATATACCGTAATATTTCATAATATGCTATTTTTGTTAGTACCTCAAAACTATATCATTATTTAATACTAGCCGCGACCCGCAAAATATTTGCGCTATTTTTCATGCCCTTGATCCCCAGTAGCACAGCGGTATGTCTGTGGACTTACAACGCTAGAAACCGGGTTTCGATACCCGTGGTGGGCAGAGAACTGATAGCCCATTGTGTAGCTTTGTGCATAAATTCAAACAACCAACCAACAAACAATTCATACCCTCTGCTTGAATCTTCCTTATTCTATCATTTTCGCGCACTGCATTTGAGCTAAGCTTTCTTGCAGGCATTATGTGTTAGATCAATAAATCCTGGTCTATTTGAAAACATTCTACGCGGTAAGACAAACAAACTTACACAGGCGTAATCTTACTTAATAAAACTACACCTACGTAACTTTATTTAATAAAACTACACGAAAAGTAAACAATAAAGTAATGGTATTTATAAGAGTATACAGAGTGTGAAACAGTTATGAGCGTTGAATGTATGACACGGTTTTATGAGTTGAAATAAAGAAACTCACAAAAACGGATAATAAAACCCATACTAAAGAAAAAAGTAGCTAAAAGGTGTTTATGGCAGTTTATGAAAGGAACCAAAGCTAAATTATTGCCAAGGAAGGTAAATGTAAAAATTGTAAAGAAGACAAACTAAGCCAATTATTGAGAAACTTCTGAATGCGTGTCACAAAGTGATAAGTATGTGGTTTTGAACGAAGTTAGCATGCCAATTTTAGACTTAAATAAGTCGAAAATGTCCGTAGCAATTGTATCTCGTGCAATGTTAATTTGTTAGGAAATTACACACGGGTTAAAGGTTGTTGTGTGAAACTAAAGTTGAAATCGAAGCCAGTCGTCACGTGATGACAACAACTTTGTGCCATCGTGTAAAAACTTGTTGTATTAAAAAGTTTAAATAAGCAAAAAACAGGTAAGATGATTCTGGATGGAAAAGCCATTTCGCAATCCGGACTCCTCAAACAAAGGCCTTTCTAACGACATGAGATTTGTAGCGTTTGATTGAGAAATTTGCGGGAAAGTTCCGGACAGACAAACACAAGCATATTATTTATACAGACTCATTACGATATAATCATACAAGTAATGAAATATGAAGAAATCTGTGCTAAACTTTTTATTATTGTTATGCTTCGTAATTACAAAGTTACACAAAGAAAATAAGAAATTTCTTTCTGCGTGATAGTAGTAAGTTTAATATCATATTCTTAAAAAATCAAAATAATGGCAATATCTTGTGAATAGACTAATAGCCGTGATAAAATATTTTAAACTTACAAAAATATTAAAAATTTGCAGGAGCTTCGGAGGGCGTGGTCTTATGATTAGCCTGCTTGGGTTGCGAATATAAGGGATTATGGTTTGGGTCTTATTGCTTCAAAAACGCGCTCCGCACTTTGGGTCCGTGGATGTGCTATGATACTGACGGCCAAATTTCACTATTCGCTCACCCAAGAGTAGTCACAACGTCATGGTGGGTACTGTTGACGAGCTGCCTTCCCCTTAGTTCGTTATTTCAAAATTGAGGACGGTTATGCGAAGATAGTCATTTATTTAGCTTTGCTAGAAAATTCTTAAACAGAAAAAACAACCCACTCCTTGCAGAGACTGTTCTCGAGTTAGACTTAGGTCTTCGGTCGTATCGAAAGAGTTCACAGAGTTAAAAAAATAAGTTGCGAAACACTGATTTTAAAAAACTGTGTTGGTGTATAGCTGAAATATACTTATTAGCTTCTCTATAAAAAGAAACAATGTAATTTATAATAATTTCTAAGTTACTTCAAACGAGTTTATACCTTAAAATTGAGTAAAAAATATGATACATAAAAACACACAGTTGATCACCTAACAGTTACAATGTACAAGGATAACATTTTTAGTATTGTTTGAAGCAGCTTGTTTTAGTTAGTGAATATGTTATAACATACATAACACCAATTATTCGTTATTCAGAGAAATATCCGTAAGAGTTCAGAAGAGAATCGAACGTCCCCAGAAGCTGAAGGTAAGTTTAATAAAATTCCCTAACACGGTCAATTATGTTGAATGCAAATAAATGATATGAAAGCGTAAATAATAAATCGAAAATACATTGTTGTTTAATAACCTACATACTTATTTTACACTGGATTTGTCGGCTTATTGCAATTTAAGTATTCTTTAAAAATATTTTCTTTGTAGTAATAATAATAATATAATATGAAGACTGTTATGCATTGTTAGATTAGAAATTCTCATCAATAAAACCGCTGTTATCTGATTCAATACTTAACACTTGAAAGTAACACGTATTTTGAAATCAAAGTAATGGGCACACGTGCTGTTGGTTTTGTGATTATATATGAAATTCTGTTATTGTTTATTTTTCTCCTTTCAGCTCATCATACAAACAATAGAGAGAAGAATACTGGGGATGAGTTGAACATGATCCAGTTCATCTTAACATGTCTTCCTGCAGTCGTGGATCCTATTATTATCTTTAGGTTACTCCAACATCGATTAACAGGTGGAATGGATCTTAAACGTTTGTCTCTGACCTCATACAGAAGCAGTGCGCCCTTGGCAGAGTCCTGTAGTGTCAAGATCAGTAGCACCCGGAATTCTGGAGGAAACCAAGAAGGACTGAGATCCAGGCGAAAAGTAAACCTAACCATCACATGCCCCCCTTCTCCAACAGCTCTCTCGGAAATCGATGCCAGAAAACGTGACTCAGTGAATAGTTCCCTAGAGACCAGATTAGTTATCCAAACATCTCAACCAATCACTTCATTAAGGATTACTATGAGCCGCAACGCTAATCATAGTCATGATTTCGCTGTACTTGACAAGGAGCCTGTACTCATCTCAGGTCCAGGGGCTTCGCCTACCACCCCTCTCACTTCCCCCTCCCAACCAAAACGAAGTTTTCATTTTTCTAGTTTAAGAAAGAAAATGGTAAAGACACCGAGCAATCTCCCCCATGTCACTACGCCTCAGAGTGGAAGCACTAACACAAGTGAGGCGGACATTATGGCGTTTCAACGTGAACTACAAAACCTACCAGACTTGAAAACAAAGGTAAGAAGGAGTGAGAGTTTGCTAAATCAGGGGATAAAGGTGGGTTTATTATGAAACAGCCTTGCACGCTTTTTATAAAAATAATAATTCCGTAAACTTTTTGTTATAAAAACAGGGAACTAAAATGAGACCATTAAGAACAAGTTATGTTCACAAATTTAAGTTAAATGAAAAATTAAATAAAGTATTGGCTTGAGGTATGTAAAATTTCATTTTATAAGCTACTAAAACTCATGTATTAAGTTTAGATTGTTATATGCATTTATTATGAGACTGTAGTCCTTAAGAAGCTGCTTGATACACAATTCAGGAAAGAGGAACTTGCTAGAGGTTTATGGAGTAGTTATCTGCACTTATCATAAGAACAAGTTATTACACCGTAGTCCGTAAGAAGCTGCTTGGTACACAATTCAGGAAAGAGGAACTTGCTAGAGGTTTATGGAGTAGTTATCTGCACTTATTATAAGAACAAGTTATTACACCGTAGTCCTTAAGAAGCTGCTTTGTACTCTATTCAGGAAACAAGGATTTGCTAAAAGTCTAGGAAGTTTGTTTGAAGTTAAGCACAAAGCTACACAATGGGCTATCTGTGCTCTGTCCACCACGGGTATCGAAACCCGGATTCTAGTGTTGTAAGTCCGCAGACATACAGCTGTGCCACTGGGGGGCGTCTAGGAAGTAGTTATACACTTACTTTTAAGAGGTTCTGAGGCAAGTTTCTGTAGCTAGTTTCAGCAATATTCCAGTAATGAGGAAAATGATCTAAATGAGACGCTGCAGAGTTCATATGTCTAGAAGTTAGTTATCTATACTTATTATAAGAACTAGGGATTACACCGTAGATCTTAAAACTGTTTTGTATAGTATTCCTGAATCAGGGATTAAGAAGAGCTTCATGAACAAGATATTTAAGTTGAGATCATTCAGAAGTCTTCTTGTGCCGTAGTTATGAAAGATAGGATTCAAATGAGATTTTAAAGAGACTGTTTTGAACACTATTCATGATAATAGGAATAAAGCTGAGATGCTTAAAGAGACCTTTGTTCAATGTTCTTATATTCTCAAGAAATCGTTATTTTTACCTTATATACTGATAGTTTTAGTATAAAAAAGTTCTGTTGTCACTATTGGTTTACAGACATATAAACCTTAAATGTCAGGCTAGGTATTATCGTGTAGTTTAATAATTTCTCATCGTATTCCAACTGTGGTGAAAAGTCAACATACTAATAATTTCTTAACGTCATCAGCCTTGGATTATATTAAATTCGGCAGCAGTATTAATGAAGAGAGACAAAGGGTAATTATCCTGTTGTAAAACATCTTTGAAATTTTTCACTTCTGCATAAGATAGTTCTATTTTGTAATTGCTCTTAAAGTTTCTGTTGAACAAATTTTCCACTAGATTCCCTTTAAATGCTCATGATAAAAACTGTTGAATTGTGTATGAAGTCCAAAGAATGTCGGTTTGTATTTATATGTGACAACAAGTTGTCTATTTAAGCGAGTAATTTAGACTCTTTTTTTGGGTAGTTAACAGTAAACTTAATGTGCGTATATATTTGTTGATAAGAAATTCGAATCCGATTAACTTCCTCAAAAGAGTTTAAAATAACAAAAGTGTCATTAGGGTGTAGGGAATACTACAGAGGTTTAAAGTCCTTTTTTTAAACATAAAAACAAATCTAAGACAATAACTTTTCTAGAACCCATTGTTGTACGATTAAGCTAATGATAAATAAATACATTAAGTATAAACATGAGAATTCTCAGTAGTGAATTCCTGTACTTGTGAGCCATTCTATTACAAAGTTTATGTTTTCATTTTATACCAGCACATCATTATGTTTGAATGTTTAATGATGTGGGAGAAAGGGTCTCATTAGAAGTTCTTATGTTAAACAGCTATTTCGCTGGACAATTTATAAATACTTCTGTAGAGTCGTTGGTCATTTATTACCTGAAATGCTCTCACTAAAAATAATACCAGATTTTGTTAATTTTGACAAATACAGTATTTTACAGGTTTTGTATATTACGTAGCACCAGGATTAGGCTTTATCAATATATAATATTTTGTTTATAATTTATATTGCTGTTTTTATTTCTTAAGCGGTACCGAAGCGAATTCCTGTTGTTAGTTTCAATAATATTCTAACATGAGGAAAAAAAAAATCTAAAAGACAAAATGCAGCGTTTGTTTGTAGTCTACGTTTTTAAAGTTGAATTAATGCAATTAATGCAACCAAACTTTGTTGACAAAATGAAAGCCAATATGTTTTATAGCTGCTCCCACGTGTTTAGAAGGTCGTACATTCTCTAAGAAAAGTATAGAATCAGATAATGTTTGTAAAGTTTGGAATAATTTTTAAGATTTTATGAATATTAATAAATAAATTATTCCCTACCTTTATTTTGTAATTTTATGTTGCAAATTATTTTTATCAATCTAATTAATCCAATGAATTTTATGATTAAGAATAACCCCAGTCGCACAACAGTGCTAAACTGTAAAAGTTAGGATCGGAATTTTACATACTACAGAAAGAAATAGAAACAATACAAATTCACTGGACAAACTGAAGACATAAGAATACTGATGGTTGAAGAAAGTACTTTGATTATTTTTAAAAACCATCATGGAACCAACACATCTACACAACTACTATATCTAAGCATTGTAGGTTTTACTTTTTTAAATACTTGGTTGCTTGTGATTTTAGAATTAATTATAACAACGTAGAAATAACAAGAATAGCTATAGCGCCAGAAAGGCTTCACTTAGAATACAGACTCTTTTGTATTCAAATACAACATATGTTTCTCATTTCTATGTTAATACCCTAAACCCTGCAGATTACCCAACCGTCCTCTTGAGGATGTCCATTTTTACTTCCGAGGCATGAAATCTTGTTATATTTTCTTCTTTTCTCGGCATTTTTTTCCCTTATTTCCTTTTTGGTCTAATTTTTATATATATACGTACTAAGATACCATATTCATAACCAAGAAGTTAATCCAAACGAATTTATAGCGTACTTCAAAGTATTATCTGAAATCCTATATCGAAAGTAATTTCTTGGTAGTTTCATTCCCCATCAATGTTTTAACTGGTGTTTTATTTTCAAATTAAAGTAATTTCTTGGTGAGCTTAGTCTAAAGGTAGGTGGTTTCACTCTCTTGCAATGTTTTAACCGATGTTTTATGTTAAAACTAAAGTAATTTTTTGGTGATCTTAGTCTAAAGGTAAGTGGTTTCATTCCCCATCAATATTTTAACTGGTGTTTTATATTGAAACTAAAGTAATTTCTTAGTGAACTTAGTCTAAAGGTAAGTGGTTTCATTCCCCATCAATGTTTTAACTGGTGTTTTATGTTGAAACTAAAGTAATTTCTTAGTGAG